AATACATAGTGGTTCAGAAAAGAGGAGAGAAAGTTTGAGTTTAAAGAATGCTCATTTACACGTATTTTAAAAAAATATTATTTTTTAGTTACGGATTGATTTCCTTTACATAAAGCACTAATACTCATGTTTAAAACTACATAAATGCTGCAGCTATGATGCTAAGACTTATAAAAGCTTTGGTAACAAATTTCTGTATGGCTCATTATCTCTGCTCACTTGCTCAAATACCTATTTTTAGCAAAGTCTGCGTAAAAAATGAAATGGCCTCTCTGGTCTTGTTTTTACCAATCTGGTATATACTAACTATGTTCCTGATTTCCATCGAGAACCATACCAAACATAATTTCAATAAAGTGTGTTCAGTTATTTAAACAGAGTTTGAACACTAAGATATAGGGTTCGATTCCATCATGCTTTAGTATTCCATTATTAGGCTACCTCATGAAAATGAATGCATTCAGTGCTCAGAGCAAGTCCTGCTTTATCTGAATAAGACTGCAGAATCAGCCTTCTCATATCGTCTTTCCTCATGGGCTTCTGTGCTAGAGCTTCTGTAAACAACCGCAGTCTCAGAAGACAAGCCTTGGCAAGAAATCCATAATTCTACTAATTTCACAAGTGTTTGAATTACATAACCTTTTTCAGTTCCACCATTATTACAGAACTATCATATTTTTCTGTATTCACTGCTGTAGTATTTTACAGTAACAACTCAGAAGAATAAAGATAGCAATAGTCTCACTGCATTGTCTGCAACTAATGCGACAGAACTTAGTAGTGTACAGGATTTCATGCAAGGTCTTCAATTTATCATTTTCAGATTATGGAGAATAAAAAATCTGAAATCAGGGAAAGTTCTCTTAGTTATAGCTTTATAAAAAGGCAAATAGGGAAGGCTTTCAAATAGTAAAATCACATATATAGAAGATACATTTCTGCCCATGTGCCCTCCATTTTAGTTTTGAAACAGAATGTCATCACTTACCAAGTTCGTCCTTTGTTATTGACCTAACAAGTAGCTTCCACTGTGAACACCCTTATATTCTATCATGTTTCCCTCTCTCTCATCCTAGTACAGAGAATTCACACTGGCATAATTTTTTTAAGGAACAATGAATATAGAAAAAATTTATTTTCAAAGGGGAAAAGGTACTAATTCTCCACAGCCTGGATGAATATGTTAGCTTTTCAAACCATCCAATCAATGGATGCATATATATAGGCCGTTAAGTTCAGAGCGTGCTTTTGAAGTTAATTTATTGTTCATTCCCTTTTACGTTGTTTCTTACAGCACAGCTCAGAGAGTCCAGCTAGCTATCCCCCAAATAAAACAAAGCTGAAAGAAAGATGCACTCTACAGAGCATCTCTAATGTGCTCCAACTATCCATGGACTTTCAGCAAGCGAACTGGAGCTAGTTCAAAGCAGATTCCCTCCTTTCCGCCCACTCACATTTGATGAGGACATCAGATTCTCGGCACCAACCATAGATTGGCTCTTACTGCACACCACTATTTGCTGATGTAGACACAGACAATATTAGCTCAGGGTGCTGGGGAGGATGAAGCCAAATTTTGCATGGCAGGATGTATTTCCTTCTTCTGTCTCAGCTTTCCTCTTAATAAAGTTTCCTTTGGCTAAATTACTTTTAAAATAGATCTTTTTGTTTGCATAGGAGGAAGGGATGCAAGTTAGATTCACATATGTCAGGAACTTCAAGATGGAAACTCCAGGCTCTAGCAATCACAGCCAGACGTGTTACATGCATGTACGTGCATGTTATCCGTGTGTACAAATACTGAATGTCTGGTTTACATAGTTCTTTTATCACGTTTAGAATCTACTATTGCACTTATCCTGTGACTCCAACACATTTTACTCGAAGTTTAAAAACCTACGTACTTATTTCACAATGTTTTGTGGGAAAGAGCTTCATGTGTCCATCAAAGCACTCTTAAAAAATGCAAGTTTGGAAATCACATCTTAATCAATGAGAGAGAACTAATAAATCTGATATATTAATAAAATGCACTTATTTAGTCTGGATACGAACTCATGTTTGAGAGGAGTTTTGCTATTTTTAAAGCACCATGGAAAGGCTGAAGAGGGTGATGAACCAGCTCTATTAAAAGACTGAGCTGTTTTTTGAAAATAATCCAAATTTTTCTGTCAAAAAAAAAAGAAAAATAAATGCATGAACAGAACAGAATAGAATATAATAATTTCAGTTGGAAAGGACCTACAATGATCATCTAGTCCAAGTGCCTGACCAAAAGTTAAAGCACGGTATCAAGGGCATTGTCCAAATGCCTCTTGAACAGTGACAGGCTTAGGGCATCAACCACCTCTCTAGGAAGCCTGTTCCAATTATATCTTCACAGAATCTTAGTCCATAGAAAACATAGATAGAAGTTTTCATAATCTAGAGATTTGTTGATGTATGTTAAGAAAATTGTCCTGTAAGAAACTGAAACCAGCAGGGTTTTTAGTGTAACCAAGCTAAACTCAAAAAATATAGAATTTTTTTACAGCATAAAATATGAAAATATTATTAACAACTGTTATTTGTAATTTCTGAATAACTTATTGTTTTCATGCTTTCATCTGTAACATTTTAGAAATAGCTACTCTGCAACAGAAATCTTTTATTAAAAGGGAAAAAAATGACTGTCTAGAATCAGTAAGAGAAAATAGCCAATGTACAAGTATAATACAATATTATATTAAGAATAATATTTATAGTAGATACAGCTTCCGATGTAGCAATTTAGGATTAAAACTGAAATTTGTAACTGAACAAACAGTATGATATATAATAACATAATTTTGTGGCTATTGGACAGCTTAGTGGATTCTTAATGGGAGGATGCAAGTCTCTTTTTAACCTGACAGCTATTTGGTGGCTTATATGAAATATACCTGTGTTGTTAGTTTGGTTTACATCAGAGATGTACATTGCCACAAGCAGCATAATCTGTCACCTATTATTTGCAGTTCAAGGAGGGGCTAATTGCTTCATAGGTATGGAAGAGGTGAAATACTCTTTCTTCTTTGGAAGTGCTCTCTTCATTTTAAATTGGCAGAAACTGAGGGAGAAACTCCACGTTGTGCGTCCTCTGCTACACAGTCTGCCTTCTTGGGGCACTCAGACCACTGGTATGTGATGACCATAAGCCACCAGGTGGACTGGCCTGAGCAATAGTGGGCTATCACTGTCACCAGTACAGTGGGAGTGCTCCCTCGGCCCCATCAGCCTGTGCTTCCCTCCACTCAAGAAAAGCATCAATGTGTCTCACAGTAGAAGCACCTCTGCCTATGCACGCATCCAGGGGGCAAGACCAAGAGGGCTTCAGCATCTCCCTTCCAGTCTCCTACACCCTTGGCACAGCTGACAGCACTGCTAAAATACTAAGTATAGTGCAGTCCTACAGCTTTTCTCCGTCTCCTCTACTGTACTTGTCAGATTGCTTCAGTTCCTAAATCTGGCGAGCAAGGCTGAAGACGTAAGAAAAGCAGTGGTGCTGTGTGGGAAACGCAAATAATAGCAGTGCTACGACAGCAAAACGGAAAAAAAGGGTTTAAACCCTATCTCTACCTGAAGACCCATTCCACAGGCTCACCCACAGCGTGCGATCATTTCTATTTTTAAATGCTATATTTTCTAACATGAGTCAGTTACCGATCTATTTCTGATCCGAACAGGAAGGACAGAGGAACAACTTTAATCACAGCTGAACCAAAATTAGAACAGAAAATGGATCAGCTCACTTCCTTTATTTATACTAACCAACTTTAGGTGTACCTATATGAGCCAATCAGAATAAAAAAAAAAAAGAGTATCCATAAAGTGCTTCTATAGATACTGAGGATCAGAAGCTGGTTCAAAACACAGAATTGGGTATCGGAAGGGGCCTGTTCTCTCCACAGCTATTACTTAGACAACTGGCTAAGTAATGCAGCCAGATAAATTAAGAGTTCATCTCAGGGGTGGTGGCAGTAACATGCCTTAACAACACCTATAAGATTCACCTCTCCGTCACCTTGGTTTCATCATGGTGTTTGTGTGGCCCCAAGCACAGCGAGGCCCTGACACAGACCAGACCTTCCCAACAGCGAAGGGCCCGTGAGTCAGCAGCGCGCTGGGGCCGCCATGAAGGCGAACCCCACTCCCGCCCGCGCTGGCACACACACAGCTGGCATACGGGGGGGAAGCTACCGCTCCCCTTCGCTCAGCACTTCTGAGGCCACATCCAGAACAACCTTTACTGGAATACTGTCTCCAGTTTTGGCACGCACTATAGGAGAGAGAAAGACAAACTGGCGGGGCTCCAGAGGCAGCCTCCCCCAGTGGCTAGGGGACTGCGGCACATTACAGGAGCTGAGGCTGAGAGGACTGAGGTTTGTTCAGCAAAAGGCAGTTCTGGCTGTGAACAACAGAAAAATCTCCAGGAGAGTGTCTAAGGACTGCAGCAGGGCCCTAGAGAGGCCGCGCAAACTCCGTCTGCGGAGATGTTCAAACAGGACAAGGCCCTGAACCTTGGAGATTAACCGTGCCTTGCACAGGGCTGTCAGCTACATGACCTCCACACGTCCCTTCTGACCTTAATTCTGCAGTTCTAAAACTGAGACTCATACACCACACAGAATCACAGAATCACAGAATCTTCTAGGTTGGAAGGGACCTTAAAGATCATCTTGTCCAACCGTCAACCTAACTGACAAAAATAGACACCCACACAACAAACAAGGAGCATCACCATCACTAAACCATACCTCCCAGCACTACATCAACCCGTCTTTTGAACACCTCCAGGGATGGGGCCTCAACCACCTCCCTGGGCAGCCCATTCCAATGCCTGAGAACCCTTTCAGTGAAAAAATTTTTCCTAATATCCAGCCTGAACCTCCCCTGGCGCAACTTGGGCCATTTCCTCTTGTCCTGTCGCCTGTGATTTGAGAGAATGTGTATGTTAAAAGCATGACGTGAGCTGGTTAAAAATGAAGATTAAAGAGTTCAAAAAAGAAGGTCCTGCCAATGTGCGGTATCAGAAGCGTTTTTCTCTATGGCAGAACAGTAATGCTCTAGCTACAAAAATGAAACTGAAGGAAAGAATAAATCCGCAGTAATAAGGCTATAATGTTATTGGGGACATCTTATTATTAGAAAATCAACAAAATAAGCCGGATGGCACTGGAAATGCAATCAAACACCAAGATGCCAGATATAAACTCATTAAAATATTAAATGTATAAGCTTTGTTAAAACTGCAGAAAGACTGCTCTCTCTATACAATCTGCTGTTGGTTTTTCAAACTAACTCATCTGTCTCATAATTCCTTTAGAAAACTAGCAAACAAAGAATTACAGTAATCAGTATCTTACAGAGACATTAATAAAAATATGGAGGCATCCTGATCTAGAAAGATATAGATTGTGGTGGTTAATACATAAATAGCTCTTCTTTTAATATCCCAAGAGACAAAAGTAATTTTCAGCACCAAGGCTGCCCTTAAAGCTAGTCACGTGTGAGGAAAATACATCTAAAAAGGGGGAGGGAAAATTCTGTGCCTTTTTCCAAGCTGTTTTGACTACTAAGAACTCAGTTTCAAGATAAATTCAATATGCTTAATATATACAGCATGTTTACATTTGGCATTTACAGCTGCACTTGGGTAGTTTTATAGACGTACGCATAGATAAGCATAGGGCCAACCATGGATACAGCAAACTGCTTAATACAAAGATGGAGATTGCTTGTTTAGTTGCCTAGCAATAAGATCTGACTCCTGTGAGCTAACAAATAGTGATTAGAGAATGAAATAGAATTATTTAATGTATCTAATGTATCATACAAAAAGGAACATAAGGCTATTGAAGAAAGGGAAATACTAGGTCAGAAAAAAAATCAATTCTATCTAGTGAAATCTATTCAGGAAATATGCAATATGAAGAAACAATAGTATCTAAATTAAAGAAAGCCTCCTTCTCTTCATTCTGTCACTGTTTTTCATTGTTCTTCTTCTTATAGCAGAAACTTTAATTCCATCGTCGATAATGGATTTGGCTGTTGAATTGTTGTGTTTAAGTTTGTCCAGCTCCCTCAATAGTGTTCCGAAGCTGGGAGAGAGAGAGATATCTTTTTAAAAATTGGACTGGATGAACATGATGGCATTTCTCTTATTGGAAAACACAGCATGATAATAATGGAAAGCTTGAGGACATTTACTGCACTGGTGGAGAGGCAAAAGTCCACACCTGTGCTTTATTTGTTATGAAGAGCTTTAAAATTGCACTGATGCCTTTTAACACATTTATAAGGTCTCTTCTCTCGGTTCTTTCAATATTACAAATGTTTTTCTCTCAATACTTCAGAGGTAGAACAGGAAGGTCACAAGCCAAGGCTAGATAGCATACTACAAGTCTAGCACAGATTGCAAGTACTCACTTCTTGGAGCACTACTGACATGGATCTTTTTCCCTTACAATCTAAATGTAAATAGATGAGTCTAAAGCTGGGAAAACAGAGGCCACTGGATAGTATTCCAGCATTATAAGCAGTGTGGACTTATAATGCACTGCTTGTGCATTATTAAAACTTGAAAGAAGACACATGACTCCTCTTTCTGCTATTTTCAAACTTACTTTAAAACATTCTTGGGATAGCTTGGGACAGAGGCTGTCATAACATTTCTCTCGTGTCCTGTTACACCATCATAAATCTAGACTAACTCCACAGACTTCCTGTGTGACGCACTTACTCGAGGTTCCTCTACACAAGGAAGTAAACATAAAGGAAAACTAGCCTCAATGCAGAGCACAGTACCAACTTGAAACTAACTCCCAGTAAAAACATTCTTACCACAAAGAAAGGAAAAGCAGCTTTTCCCACTCTGAATATGGATTAAACTACTTTGAACAAAGACAGTACTAGTAAAATCCAAAGGTGCTTTACAAAAAGAAATTAAAGATTCGGTATCAGAAGCAGCATGTCTTCCCTCTAGTCATATATATCCTGCTTCTCAAACATTCCCTAATTTATTTTAGGGGTAGTTTTAGATACTGTACACAGCTTTGCATTTTGGCCTGATAATACCCTTTTACTGCCCATTTACTGCATTTGTACAGAATAGCCCATAACTTCGTGCTTAAGCAGCCCTAATTTTTCCATGAAGACAGTGTCTTTATTTCTTAATCTTCATTCCCCAGTTGCAGACTACTACACAGACTAATTAACTATATCTTGATTTCCTTGTATTGTGGCTTCTTTGTCCTTGCTACAGCAGTGTGAAACACCTTTAAATGGGACATAAATGGTATTTACTACATGAAAGTTGTTAATAAAACCGGAATTTACATTACTGATTTTTCAATGTTGTTCAGACTGTATAGTGATAGAAACTACACAAATATCTAAAAAAGCAAAACCAGATAAAAATGAAGGACAGGCAAGTGAAGATTTTGACATGGTAAATAATTCAACCAGTGTTGATTTACTAAGAAGCAAATTCATTGTCTGTTTCATTATAGTACTTTCTGTATAATAGTAATTTATGGATTTCTAATAATTTACTCTCATACGCTCCCACCACCTATATTCTAAAAAAAGCTGAGACAATAGTACTTGTTTGCACACATCCCTTAGAAGACACGTGCTGTTTACAGGGATCTGTCGATAAAGAATAAATGGTCTGGGATGAAAAGCATTGTTCCTAGGTCTTTCTACACACATTTGACATTTTGAGACTGTACAAATACGTGCCATCAAGCCTCTCTACCCGTTTCTCTCACAGATCCGCAGAACAATCTGACGCTAAGGAAATCCATGTGGTCAACATAAAAAATCATAATCTCATTGGAAAAAAATGTAGAGGGAGTAGGGACAAAAAGTTGGCTCTGATCTCTTGTTGATTCTCACAAGTTTCATACACATTCTGTGGTATAAACAGTGATTTCAGAGAGGTTCTGGAAAAGAACAAATTGGATAGAAACCTTCAAGGCAGAAGTAATTAGTTTCCTCATCTGGAGCAATGTGTAATCTTTGCATCTATTCTGATATCGTAAGTACAGAATTGTAATTAGTTTCCTCATCTGGAGCAATGTGTTAATCTTTGCATCTATTCTGATAGCATAAGTACAGAATCCAACTTTTACTTTTTTTCCTATGTCATAAGAATTAATAGCTTGAGCTATTAATTTCAGTCACATGCACCTGTAATTTCATCTCTGCTCCTCACTGTTTTTTTATTTTGATTCCTCTTGACAAGTCACAAGAAATGTAACATATTAAGTTTGAACTCTTAATTCGTTGTGAAAGTAGTACACTGTCTACCCCACTTTTATATTTCTATGTCACTATTGTCTTAAACAATATTCAAATATCTGCTGCCAATTGCATGGTAAAGATCACGTCTAATTTGTAAGATGAATTGAGAGGAACTGGTATTTTTGAACATATTTACTTACAATACTCTCTGCATGCAAAGCTACGGTGCCAGTGTACAAGACAACCATATTTACTTACAATACTCTCTGCATGCAAGCAAAGCTACGTTGGCAGTGTACAAGACAATGTATTGCACATTGTGACCGTAACAGGTTATTTGCATTTGACATTTTTCACACTGCATAAGAAATGAAAATACTTCATGTTCCCAACCAAGATCCAGTAATCCTGAGTACTTATGGTTACTCCAGTGTGGAGAATGTCAAAAGGACATGCTCTGGTGAGTATTTATACACCCTCTGTATGAAGCGCCACTACTCTTTTCTATGCTTTTTTCTATTTTATACACCAGCAAATAGCCAAGAAACTCTCTTAGCAATTAAAATTTGATATTAAAATATATGTTACACATATATTTAGCCCCAAACATTTTTTTAGTCTGGCCTAATAGCAAATGTTATCAAGCTAAATGCACCAGAATTCTACTCACAGTATCATAATTAAGCCATTAATGCTACTCTTTCTTCAATTAGATGTCAGTATGGTGTACACTGCTTTAGGCTTTGCTTTCACTGTCAATTTCTAAAATTCCTTTCAAAAATTAGTAATTATGAGGCCCGCATAAATCCTGCAACTGAAGTAACAAAAAGACATTTTGGTGTAAGGATATTTTGTATACTATTATCTACAGATTTGGAGATTTACACTCCCTTTCTAAGTAACCATACTTAAAATTGAGATAAAGCAAGTGGTATACTCTCTCCATGTAAGCAGGAAACATCCATCTGTTTCTGTGTTTGTTGTTCTCTTAGCCAGGTACACCTCAGGCATATCCTGCCTGTGAGGCAAGATGTTGCTCTTCAAGCAAATCCCTTTGAATTCTCCCTCTTAAAAAACAGTCCATGAAAGCAAGAATCAATATTATAGTAGTCTGACCATAATTTTCTAGATTACAGTTAATTACAGTTGTTATCTGTAATAGGTTATAATACCATACAGGGGACACAGCATCATATGAGGCCAAATCATCAACTGACATCAAAAGGAGGCAAAGAGGGCCCTCAGTTCCTTTTTCCCAGGCAACCCTAGTTACATTAGTAATGATTTCCCTTCAGGAGCTCCGTGACAGCAATTCTGAGAGGGGACAGCAGAAGTGACAACTTTGCATCTTGTAAAAGAACAAACGGTTTGAGACATCAGCGCCAACCCTTTTAAGATCAGCTCTAGCAAGACCGAGGAATGAGATTTCTGATAGCAGTTTTGTTTGTTTACTTTCCAGTAAAGTTTCTAGCTGCAAAAGCTTCTTTTAAATCCTGAGGCTCACTGATTCTGAGACCTTGCTTGAAGTGTTTCTCTTTTCCTTGATAGCTGGCTGAACCCCAAAGAAAACAATGAATGCTTCTTAGTAATATTTACAGGGATTGGAGGGGAAAAAAAGATATTAAGTTTCATCAGCTATAATAAGTAGATAATATTCTTGATATGAATTTACAACTGAAAACATAAATACCATGGTGGTGTTCTGAATTTTTTTAAAGAAGCCTGAAATCTTCTGTCATGTTCTTTCTGCCTAAAACATGCAAAACAAGGAAATAGCGGTTGGAATAAAGGCACAATAATTAACTCAATAAAGCAGCGAAAATTGACTGATCAAATTTTGCCATACCAACTAGGATGAGT